GTCTTCCTTGGTCCAGGCTTCTCCCCTCCGATCTGCATCTGTTCCGATGCCTTCCGCAGCTTCTTCTTCGCCTTTTTCCTCTTCTTGCTCTCCTTCTTTCTCTCCTTCTTACCCTTCCCCTTAGTTCCTTCCTGCTCCGATGGTGGTAGGGCCTATGTCTTTAGCCCCACAGTTGGTATTGAGGCCTGGGCCTTCCAATCAGGGATCACCCGTCCCTTGGTCCTACCCTTATCCCGGATCGGATCCGTCACCGAGGACCTCCCCCCGGTCATCTGGATTTCCTCACCCCCGGGTACAAGGCGAGCCACCACGGCCGTTAAACGGTCGAGCTCCGCCATGCAGTCGCGGGTAGGGACCGTGGTGGCCATGGAGGCGTCTAGGTCCTCCTCGACCCCATCTGGTCTCTCCGTTGGGGGAGGGGAGTCATCCGGGAGGTTGTCGTCATACGACGGTGGCATTTCTCCGGGACGTCCCCCTTCCCCATTTACCATCCCCTTCTCCTTCCCTCTCCCATCAAAAGGAGAGAGAGAAGACGAGTGTACATTCTTCCTCCTTCTCTTCTTCTTCCTCCTCCTCTCGAACCACTCCATGGTCTTCTCCTCCTCCGTGGACGTCGTGCTCCCCACTGTCTCGGCGTACGTCCTGCGCCTATTCCTAAGAGGCCGGGAAGAGAGGTCGAGGGCGGGAATCATGGAGGCCTTGCTTACCCGCAATTCCTCCTCAAGCCTCCTGTTCTCGGTCCTCAACTCCCTCAGCTCTTCCCTGAGCTCCTCCACCTCTCTCGTGATCTTCAGGTCCTCATCCCCCCTCCCGTCTAGCTCCGCAGTCCTGGCCAGGAGGGTTGCCAGAACGGCCTCGGAGGTGGCCACGGCGCGGTTTAATAGTGACACAAAGGTCCCTTTGAGCGTTTTGAACCTTCGTGCCACTAGACGCACCGCGCCCAAGGCACGGCCCGCCTCCGAAGCTAGTTCTGACGACCTGGTCTCCCTCAGCAAGATTCTGGAGCAGGGGTCCCGAAAGACCTCCTCGACGGGGCGTTTGTCCTTAAGGGAACGAAACATCCCCTTGTCGAGGAGATCCCAGGCCTCTCTCTCCAGTCTCTCACTCTCCTCTTCCTTTCTCCTTACCAAATCTATGGCCTTCCTTTCTTTCAAACCCACCCCCAATCCCGTAGTCGCAAGTCTCCCCTGCTTCATTTTTTCGGGTATTAGGGCGGGAACCTCCGCTACCGAGGAGTCACTGTTAGTAATCGCCCTGATCCTCTTCATTCCACCAACGTCCTTGGCAGTCCTTCCTCCCTCGTTGCCGGTGTTGTTGGCAACCTTTGTTGCCCTCTGGGCCACCGTACTGGTGCCGGGAAGCTGTATCCTGGAGCCCTCTGACAGAATCACGTCGGACCTCTGGCGATCCGCTCCGACCTCCTTACCACTCCCCCAGACCCCCTACCTCCTTGTCCGAGTTAACCCTTTGCGCCCCCTGGTGTTCGGGGGGAGGCCCTCCTTGCTCCTTTAGAAAGGGGCCCCGGTCTGTTGGTCCCCGGTACCGGGATTTTACTCCCGGACCCCGAGGACTTTAGCATCCCACGTTGGGTGGCCGCCCTTGTCCTAACCGACGGACTGACCTTTCCACCCCCGCGGGGGGAAAAGCCGGCTGTTAGCCAGCGAGGACGATGGGCAGTCCTCAGATGTAGAGGACCCCCTGGATGACCCCCCTAATCTTCCGGGGTCCATCGCCGTACTCTCCCCGGGGGGTGGGGAGGAGGCACTCGCCTGGTGATTCCTTCCCATCCTTCTCACTCCTTCTTCCCCTTCGAAAAAATCACTCACCGAAGTGAGTGGTAAGTCCATGGACGGGTTGCTACACTCATCCGTATAGGACTTTGAGTCCGAAGGCTCGGAGTTTTGTTTTTTAAAATTGGAAATCATACTTGATCCCACGAGTTCGGCGGGAAGTGCACGTCAATCTATGATAGAGCCCCCGTATTACCATGGATAAGGCTAGCTTGTCCCCGTGGTACGCCAAGTTCCACGGATGAGGAACCACTCGCGACAGGTCTCGTACCTGCCATTCATCCTCTAGGCGTGGCATTCTTCAACCGTAGGATTACGTGGTGTTTTATAGAGGACCCGCCTCGCGGTCCGGCCAATTAAGGCAAGACCCCCGGCCCCAGAGACATGACCTAGGGTTACGGTATAGTAGGCTAGGGTACGCCGAGGTTCGCCTGAATCCCTCGTATCAGGATGCCGAAACACCCTGACCCCTAACGCCCACCCCGCTTCCCATCCCTATCCCCCCACCCCAAAACCCTCACTTCCCTGAACCCGAGCTGCTCTTAGCAAGTGATCCTCCCCACCCGGCCCTCCCTCCGATTGGACCGGAGGTACTGCCCAGGTGGATCAACAGATCGCTTGAGCCTCCCCACCACGACAAGGTAGCACCACATCGGGGAGGAAGTAATTTGTTACTTGTATGACAAATACAATCTGCATCTAGCATCCAGCATCTAATAAATTTTTTCCGATAAAGAAGAGTCCGATAACCAAAAACCCATCGATATGTTTTTTTGAGGATACTACATGTGGAGATTATGTCTGTGCTACCTTCCTTATCGAAGAATAAGGATGAGCTTCTACAATTGATTTGTAAATCTAATGACAATTTACAAATAATTTATTACAATGTGTACGCAACGAAACCTGCTAACTTGGCGGTCCTTAGGAAACGTATACTGCACCAAATAAATCTTATTTCACCAGAAATGAGACGAAACGTTTTCAATGAATTTCATCTACGATTAGATCATTGTCAAGCAGCAGACAGAAGACAATTTGAACACTTGATTCAATTTAACAATTAATTGAGTAAAAACCCGTCTACGTATACACGCACGCGCGTGCGTGCACGCACATACACGCACACACACATACACACAGCAGAGAGAGTTGGAGTCATTAAATACTGCGGGAGTGGCGAACCGCGGGGTCTTTATCTCTGCTGACACACACACAAACACACACACACACACACACACACACAGGGGTGTAAAGTCCGACCATGCAACCTCCACGCGGTACATCCTGGATAGTACTAATGCTGGCGACACCGTAAATTCTAAAGCTCATAACTCAGACAATTCTCAACAAAAATAGGTAAACAAGTAGTGTTTTGGAAACGTTTCTCTGTCATCTTTAACACTGTGTGGTAAAAAATGGGATATTCCATTTTAAAAAATCACAATGGCTTTGTGACCTCACCTTGACCTCTTCACTCAAGGTCAAACGGATATGATCGTTCAATAGATTTTAAAACCCTATAACTTTGGTTGGAAACGTCTTTCTCAGAAACGTTTTGTTTTCGAGACATTTGACCGTTTCCAGACTTTTCTAAAACTCTGTATACTAAATTTAGTTTCTGTCACGATTTAATTGTAATCTTAAACTTCGTATACAGGGTGTCCCATTTTAATGTTCCACCCCAAATAACTCTCCAGTATTGAAGTTTCAAAGAAAATGATTTCAATAAAAATTGTAGGGATTTAAGTGAGGTACCTTATGATGACTTTAACTTTGACCTCTATTTTCAAGGTCATTTGAAGATTAATTTGCGTTTTTTAAATGGGAACCCTTATTTTTTATTATACAGTTTTTTTTCTACTAATTAATTTGAACAACTTTTGTTTGAAATATATTTTTATTTGTCTAATATTTTTTGAGATATTTGAGGAAAACTTGATAACTTTTTTAATATTTAACTTACGACATCTCGCTAATTATTTGTCGGAAGAAAAAGTGGTACTAGACTTTCTTGCTTTATTTAATCTCAAGAATATATTATTACAATAGTGTCCTGATTTTTGTTTATTTGATGATTTTGAAATTTCCAAAAATCTGTAAGTTGACAAAAGTCAAGGCGCTATTGTAACAATATATCTTTGAGACTAAATAAAGTAAGAAAGTCTAGTACTACTTTTTCTTCCGACAAATAGTTAGCGAGATATCGTTAGTTAAATATTGAAAAAAGTTATCAAGTTTTCCTCAAATATCTCAAAAAATATTAGACAAATGAGAAAATATTTTAGACAAAAGTTGTTCAAATTAACAAGTAGAAAAAACTGTAATAAAAAATAAGGGTTCCCATTTAAAAAACACAAGTTGACCTTCAAATGACCTTGAAAATAGAAGTCAAGGTCAAAGTCAAGGTCATCATAAGATAGCTCACTTAAATCCCTACAATTTTATTCAGATCATTTTCCTTGAAACTTCAATACTGAAGTGTTATTTGGGGTGGGACATTAAAATGAGACACCCTGTATAAGGAGAAGATTTAATACATACATGTGTTTCAAACTTGCGCTTCTCGCATGCGCATGTCACCACGGAGCATGCGCATATGGCTACAGATCATCTTCAAGTTGTTGTATATCGTCGGTGATTATCGTCGTGACAGATTTCCTAACCGCTATCACTTCTTGACTTAATAACTTGACTTAATAACTCTTTTCTCACTTTAGAGCGACACTTTTTACTTTCAGATTTATGTTTTGCAGATTAAAATACATTATATTGTAAAGTTTCACGCAGATCAGAAGATGAACCCGTCTCCTTCACATTTAAAAGATTGTAACCCTCGTAAACTTTGTTTATTTTTTCCTGCAAACACTCAACAATCCATTGTTGAATTTTGCATGCTGGCTCATAAAAATCTCATACAAAGAAATTTTTTCGAAATCAAATGGATATATCAATTTCTTTGCGAGAAGATGAGTATCTCAAGTGACTGATATCATTTAAATTATTAGCGTTAATAAATTTAATATTAATAATAATTAAAATATAATAATTGTATATCAACACTTACAATGCATGTGTATGTTCATAATTGAGTATGAAAATTATAAAATTAAATATAAAAATTATAAAAATGGCCACTCATTAGCGTCATTTTGTGTCATTGCTAGAAGTTGTCCCCACGATCTCGAAATATTTCTTCCCGAATTGCAGATAACACGTGGGATGAAAGATGAAATGATGAAGAAACAAGACGGAGAGATTCTCGCTTAACGATAAGATTGCTGCTGACTCACCTCGTGCCTACTCCTGCCACACGGTCCGCTTATCGATGATGAGACAAAGATGGGGAATGATTGATCGTCTGCGCTTTTCTAACTTACTATCTTTGTCCTTATAAAATACTATTTCCTTAAGGATCTACAGAAGCCATACTAGAGACCTCTCGCGGAGACCCGCGAACTAGGCAAAATTATATTACAAATTATGAACAAAATACGAAGAGAATCACCTTATATGCATGATATTTGCAATCAGGAAAAATATCCGCAGGATCGTACAGAGCGCTTTTCTGGAAAAAAAGTCGAAATAAAAATCGATTAAATAATTTGCATGAACGTTCATCCCGCGGTGCAGCACAAGCCTATATTTTCATTTATTACAAATTTTCAAGAACCTAAATGCAAAATCAGACTCTGTACCGACCTAGATACTAATATAAGCAAGATGTCTATGTAAGTCTCATAAGCAAATATGATGTCTGCGTGGCAAAATATGCTTGGTGCAGATAACACGGAAAGTGTAGCCCAGCTGTACTATGGTGCAGTCTATATGACCTAACTGCCTTGCGTTCACGCGAGTAATACATTAGCATTAGCGTATATATGAGCAGTGCATAAATATTGCCGTGTGTATATGTATGAATACCTTCCAGCTTCCATTTTAAAACATAAGATATTTTGTCACGTTGATGTTATGTATTACCGCAAAGTTGTTATGATACATCTTTTGCATTATACCCGAGGCCCTTATAAAGGCAGATTTTTTAATGAAGCCGTAAATAATTTTTCATAAACAAATAAAATGTCAGCAGTACCAAGCGTCGCAGCAAGTCACGAGCGATACAATTTTACTAGAAAAGATATTCTACCTCGTTAACGATATATGTAACCACCAAATTAATATGGAACATTCCTTGAACTATTATCGAGATCCCTACAGAGCCAGATTTTGCAATCCGACCTTCCAAAACTTATAATATATTAATAAAACGTACGTCGTACGAAACATCGCAGCGAGTCCCGCGAAATACCATGTTACAAGAAAAAATATTTTGCCTCGTTGCTATCATATATCACCACCAAATTGTTATAACATATTCCTCGATCTATTCCCGAAGTTTCTACAAAGCCAGATTTCGCAATCAGGCCGTCTAACGTTTATCATAAATAAAAGATGCACCAAGCGTCAAGGCGGATCACGCGAATACAATTTCACAAGAAGAGATATTCTGTCTCGTTGACGATATATGTAACCACCAAATTGATATGGAACATTCCTTGAACTATTATCGAGATCCCTACAGAGCCAGATTTTGCAATCCGGCCGTCCAAAATTTATAATATATTAATAAAGCGTGCGTCGTACGAAACATCGCAGTGAGTCCCGCGAAATACCATGTTACAAGAAAAAATATTTTGCCTCGTTGCTGTCATATATCACCACCAAATTGTTATAACATATTCCTCGACCTATTCCCGAAGTTTCTACAAAGCCAGATTTCGCAATCAGGCCGTCTAACTTTTATTATAAATAAAAGATGCACCAAGCGTCAAGGCAGATCACGCGAATACAATTTCACAAGAAGAGATATTCTGCCTCGTTGACGATATATGTAACCACCAAATTGATATGGAATATTCCGTGAACTATTATCGAGGTCCCCAGAGCCAGATTTTGCAATCCGGCCGTCCAAAATTTATGAAAAATAAATGAAGCGTCCGTTGTACCAAGCAATCACTCGAAAAATTATTTTACGAGAAGCAAAATTTCGCCTTGTTGACGATATGTATAATTGCTAAACTGTTATAGCACCTTCCTTGAACTATCCCCGAGAACTCTACAGAGCCAGATTTTGCAATCCGGCCATAAAAAATTTATCATACGTTAATAAAGCGTCAGCCGTACCAAACGTCGCTGCGAGTCACTCGAAATATCATTTTACGAGATGTAATATTTTGTCTCTTTGACGATACGTATTATTACCAAGTTGATGCAGCATTTTCTTCATACTATTCCCGAGATCGCTATAAAGCCGGATTTTGCAATCCGGTCGTCAAAAATTTATAATATATAAATAAAGCGTCCGTCGTACCAGGCGTTGGAGTGAATTACTCGAAAAATCATTGTAGGAGATGCAAAATTTCACTTTGTTGACGATATGTTTCACCACCAAATTGTGTTAGCATCTTTTTTCAACTATCCCCGACAAACCTACAGAGCCAGATTTTACAATCAGGCCGTGAAAAATATATCGTAAGTAAATAAAGATGTATGAAGCGTCGGAGCAGATCACGTACAATATCATTTTACAAAATGAGATATATTAGTTCACTGATAAAATATATCATCATCGTATTGTTATAATATATCTCTAAAACTATTCCCAAGATCCTCACAAAGACAGATTTTGCAATCAGGCCGTCTAAATTTTATTATAAATAAATAAAGATGCATCAAGCATCAAGGCGGATCACGCGAATACAATTTCACAAGAAGAGATATTCCACCTCGTTGGCGATATACAGGGTCATCGAAAAGTATCGGACCCTCCTAATATCTTCAGTTAGAATGCATTTTGGAAAAAATGTCCAATAGCAAAGTTGTATGGTTTTAAACGGGGAGTAAGATTATGACCTTGACTTTGACCTTGACCATGTCCTTCAAGATCATTTCAAGGTCAACCTTATTTTTTTTAATGGAACTGCCAACATTTTATTACACATTCTTATAGCTTATCTCGAGAGCTTTCCAAAACACTATAATAAAATATTTTTTTATTAAGTACTTTTTGAGTTATAAAGGTTTGAAATTAACAATTTGTTAAGTGGTGTGTGATTCCGATCAGTTAAGGCGAATTTCATTCCAATTGGTCAGCTTGGGCAAAATATTCAATTGTACCAAACAATTCACAACAAATGTTCAAATTGTTGCCCTTCAACAGCCTGGCAATATGCCAATCTGTTATAAACAGCTGAAACCGCATTCCGGAACGTTTCCGGCGGTATTAGTTCTATCTCTCTAGTTATTCTCCCTCTTAAATCATCTAAATCTTGAGGCTTGGTGGTATAAACTTTACTTTTCAAGTAACCCCACAAAAAAAGTCAAGTGGGGTCAAGTCCGGAGACCGAGGTGGCCACTCAATATGACCCCTTCGCCCTATCCACCTGTCCTGAAAGACCTCATTCAAATATTGACGGACAATGACACCATAATGAGGTGGAGCTCCATCCTGTTGGAAATAAATTTCATCCATATTTCCACCAGCTATGTCTCGAATAGCTGGAACAATTTGTTCGCGAAGCATGACTGTGTATACTTGTGCTGTCAAATTGCCTTCAATGAAGAAAGGGCCAACTGGTCTACCATTAAGAATACCAGCCCATACGTTAACTTTTTGTAGATATTGGGTATGATTGTCTCTTTTCCAGTAAGGATTAACGTCACTCTAGTATCTACAATTGTGCCTATTTACATTTCCAGTCAGTTCAAATGTGGCTTCATCAGAGAAAACAATATTATTAAGTAATAGAGGATCGTCGACAATCATCTCCATCATAAGATCACAAAATTCGATGCGTCTATCAAAATCGTCTTCGGACAACTCTTGGACCAAATGGAGTTTGTATGGATGCCATTTATTCAATTTCAGAATTTTACTGACAGATGCATAACCGATTTCGTGTTCTTGTGCAACGCGATTGATGGAAATGTGGGGACTTTCAACGAAAGACTGTAAAACATCTAATGCCTTATCATTATTTGTTGCTGTTTTACGTCTACCAGATTTTGGGCGGCTTTTAACGCTACCAATGTCCTCGAAACGTTGAATAGTACGGATTACAGTACTTTTGGAGATCCTATTATTTTCATTCCGAAAATTTTCATCAAATAATCGCATTACTGTTTTATACCCTCTTTGTTAATTTCCCCATCATCGCATTATTAACAGTGTTATTCGAACTCTTTCAGAAAGCTTCGCCATTCTTAATTAGAGCAAAGAAGAATTAATCAGGTAAGTGATAGGAAATTGATCTAAATAATTAAGTAGAGAAAAATACTAATTATTAAATGTTGGTCCAACTATCGATTTGTTTATTTCAACCAGCACTAGCAAAAAGCTCGTTAAGCAACTGAAAATCTAATAGATCAATTAATAATATTTACGAAAAAATTCTGGGCTATTGGAAACAAAATGAAGATGTTTGGGACAATCAATTGAAGCGCAATGGCTTCTTTTGTTACAGAAACAATTTTTGAGGCTGTTCGTTTTCGTCCATGAGGTGACTGCTGCTCGCTAAGAAGAAGACAGCACTGCATCAAAGATTTAAATCAGTGATCCGCATTGTTTGCTCAAGAGCTTGTATTACTATTGGTGCCTGCGAGAGTGAGACAATAAAGATCGGCCCCGCCAACACTTTCGAGCAGATTCCCACTAACGCCTTCGGACATCACGCATTCGAGCAGCTTCTCGCGATCACCTTCGGGCAGTTTTCCGCCACAGCCTACTAGCATAACCGCTTGAAGCCGTACAACTGTGCTATTGGACATTTTTCCAAAATGCATTCTTACTGAAAATATTAGGGGGAGCCGATACTTTTCGATTAATGTATTTTCTTTAAACCAATTAATTGGTCTCATTATTTCACGCACAAAAATATTAAGGTTATGATTACTGAAAACTAAATAATATTTTACAAGATATTTTACATTTTGTGTCAAAAAATTGTTAACTTCAAACCTTTATAACTCAAAAAGTACTTAATGAAAAAATGTTTCATTATAGTGTTTTGGAAAGCTCTCGAGATAAGCTATAAGAATATGCAATAAAATGTTGGGTGTTCTATTTAAAAAATAAGGTTGACTTTGAAATAACCTTGAAGGACATGGTCAAGGTCAAAGTTAAGGTCATCATCTTACTCCCCGCTTGAAACCATATAACTTTGCTATTGGACATTTTTTCCAAAATGCATTCTAACTGAAGATATTAGGGGGATCCGATACTTTTCGATGACCCTGTATGTAATATATATATACTCTTGGTACGTCTCTAAAGATAATAAAAGAATTTCATATTATGGACATTATAAACTTATATATAAATTTATTTATATATATATATAACCATATGTATAAACTTCAATTACCATATATATTATATGGTTAAATATACGTAAATTGCGCACTTTGGGACGACGTTGAAGTTTGGAGCGTTCTTCGAGCGAAAAATGAAAATAGTCTTTACTTAAAAAAAACCACTTAATATAAATGTAAATACATATAAAAGACAAATTTGTGTTAAATATGACATGACATTATAAGAAAGTTGTTCTTCCCGAAAATTACGCATATAATCATTCATACAGATTATAATTTACTTCCGGCACTCACACCACTTTGTGCCAAAAACTGACAATACATTTTCACCCTCTGGCATGTGGGAAAAGAGAAAAAAATAGGTTAATAGCAATATCGTCCCGGAACACTTTCGTTCTCCCCGAAAATTATGTGCATACCACCGCACTCAGACAGATTATAATTACTTGCGGCACTCACAGCGCTCTGTGCCAAAAACTAACAATGCATTTTCACTCTCTAGCATGTGGGAAAATAGAAAAAAAATGGTTTAATAGCAATCGCGTCCCGGAACACTTTCGTTCTCGTCGTATCCCGGGACGAAAGTGTTCCGGGACGCGATTGCTATTAAACAATTTTTTTCTGTTTTCCCACATGCCAGAGATTGAAAGTGTCAGTTTTTGGCACAGAGCACTGTGACTGATGGAAGTAATTATAATCTGTCTGAGTGTGGTGGTATGCACACAATTTTCGGGGAGAACGAAAGTATTCCGGAACGAGATTGCTATTAAACTAATTTTTTTCTATTTTCCCACATGCCAGAAAGTGAAAATGCATTGTCAGTTTTTGGCACAGAGCGCTGTGACTGACGGAAGTAATTATAATCTGTATGAATGATTATATGTGCATAATTTTCGGGAAGAACAACTTTCTTATAATGTCATGTCATATTTAACACAAATTTATCTTTTATATGTATTTACATTAAGTATTGTATTTACATTATGTAAATTACACAAATTTATCTTTTATATGTATTTACATTAAGTATATATTTACATTAATTAATATATATTTATATTAAGTAGTTTTTTTTAAATAAAGGCTATTTTCATTTTTCGCTCGAAGAACACTCCAAACTTCAACGTCGTCACTTTGGACTCCTTTTCCTCGTCCTCCTCTTCCTCCTCTTCCTGCACCTCTTCCTCCTCTTCCTCTTCTTCCAATTATATCTCTTCGTCCTCCTGGTCCACCACTTCTGCCCTGCAGCAACAACTGCATTTGTTCATGTAGTTCTTTCTCGCTTTTCTTCCCTTCTTCTTTTCTTTGGCGGCGACGTTGCCGTTGCCGTCGCTCAGCAGATGGGGTCTAAAATGTAACAAATAACAACAATATTATATATAAACTTATAATATAGCAACATCTTTAATAATACATATAGTATTAAGGGTTACCTGTTCTTCTTCTGCATGACGTGGAACGAGTACTGGTACCGGTACCGGTACATGTACCGGTTCAGGTATTTTGTCTTGATGAGGCCATACTATACTGTGCCGGTACTATAAATGGTTTCACCGTATATTCTTGAATGCCCATTGGAATTGCTAAAAAAGAAAAGAATAGTAAAAAAAGAAACACGTATATATATATATATATAAAATATATATATAAATATATATATACACATCAATATATATATACATATGTATATATTATATACACATGTATATATATACATATAAATATATACATACATCAATAAAAATGTACATTACTAAAAATAAACAAAATATAACCTTACCATCTTGTATCTCCATTTTCGCGGGAATAAATGAGAGGTATTTGTCTATCATGCTCCACCCCCATATAGCGGAGGATATGTAACCATTGTAAACGGAAGACGTATGTATTGGGTTGGCAACTAAGTTCCCGCCGTTTTTTAAATTTTAACATTCCGCATGTCATTAAATGTTTTTGGCATAATGTTTTACATCATTCGAAAGAGGATGTTTTGTTCTACCGGAATCTATGTTTTGTTTTTTTGTTCGAGTTAATTTATGTTAATTAATCGGCAGCATGGAGTTCTTTTGCTATACGACAACGCCCGCCCTCATATCGCCAATATGACCAAAGAAGCCATTCAAACGCATGGGAAGTGCTGCCACACCCGCCGTACTCTCCCGATTTGGTAACGGATTTCCACCTTTT